TTTTGGTAGAACCTGGGATTGAACTCAGGCCCTCGTGCTTGCCAGGCAAGTGCTTATTCTACTGAGCTATCCTCCCCAGGCCCAAGGTTCTTTCTTGAAAAGGCTGCGTATGCTTTGAATCAGCATCCACTATGTCTCCCATAGCCAGGATTTATGGGTCCAGGAATCAAAGGGTAGATGTGAGAATAGTACTACTCAAGATTCTATTGATCCACTAGCAAAATTTTTGTATCCACTTCTTTTTTTTTTTTTTTTTTTTTGGTGGAACCAGGGATTGAACTCAGGCCCTTGTGTTTGCCAAGCAAGCGCTTATTCTATGGAGCCATTTCCCTGGCCCCTATAGCCACTTCTTATGACTTTATATTTTGCTGGTTTAGAACTCTTAGTGCTAGAGGGAGGGGGAATTATATCAAGAAGCACAATGAATGGTATCACTGAACTGGAAGCTAAGACTTCGTCCTGGTCCTTTTGGTGGTCTCATGCCCCTGAGTTAAAAAGCTAAAAAGGGGGAGTTACAGTGTTGAAAGGGGTGAATGACCCAGACAAACAATTTGGGGAAATTAGAGTATAACTCTGCAGTGGAGGAAAAAAAGAATATACTTGGAATGTAGGAGATCTCTTAAGACACCTAATACATTCCATGCCCTGTTATTAAAGTCAGTGGCGAACTGCAACAACCCAGTCTAAGAAGACTAACAGATGGTCCAGAACCTTCAAAAATGAAGTTATGGGTCACTCACTAGGGAATGAACCAAGACCTGCTAAGGTGCTTGCTGAAGGCCAAGGGTTACAGAATGGGTATGACTAGCTATAGAAAGGGGGATTGTAATATAATAGTTCTCTCCTAATATACTTCCTATGTAATACACTGAGGATAGACATATATTGGTTCGTAAGTATTGCTAACCTATGTTGTCACATTCAAGTTATGAAGTATTAGGAGTAAGCATCACCCAGAGAAAACTTGCCTTCTATTCTGGGGAAGAAATTAGTGCATTTCTGGTTGTATGTAGGATGGTTATAACATGTTAGGTATAACTATGGACTTGTCTTTGTATCTGGACAGTATGGTTTAAAGAAATGTCTGATTGGCAAATTTACAAGGGGTAGATTGTGTTAATTATTTGACAACTTAAGTAACAAAATGCTCAATTAAAGTTGATCAGTATAGTTCTGGGTATGGCTGAGGGCATTTACTGAAGACCCACCCTGGGTAGGCTTAAAACAGAACTGAGCTTGCTTTCTTTGTTTCTCTTATAAGAGAAACAAAGAAAGCAAGCTCAGTTCTGTTTTTTGGAGGAGTTCCAGTCTTCATTTCCACCTTGGACATTGTCTCCTGACTTCTAGTGCAGACTCTTCAGTCTCCAACACAGACCCTTCAGCTTCCTGATACAGACTCATACAGGATGCCTTTCACTGATCCCCACCACATAGACAGCTCTTTTTGCACGCTTCTACACTTGACTCTGTAGGTGGCCATTGTAAGCCAGTCTTGTAAATCCTTATATATGTGCATATCTTACATTAAATCTGTTTCTCTACAGAGCATTGACTGATACAAAAGGGAAAGGAGAGGTGTAGAATCTAATTGATGTGAATTTCCTTGTACTTTGAGAACCACATTGTGGTTGGATACTGTGATACTGGCCAGTATCACTCACCATTTAGTGTGGGCCTGGACTCTGTATAGGATGGAACTCTGGCCCCTGCACTTACCTAAGCAAGCACTTAGTGTGGTGAACTATCTTGCTGGCCCTTGATTTGTGCTTTCTAAAAAATGATTAACAGTTCCCATCAGCTTGAACCACCAGTGGTATGTGCATAACTGTCTCATCAGATGGCTTGTACTGTGCCACCAGATGGATCAGTCATATGTGTACCACCAGTGGTTCAGAGTTGCCCAGCAGCAAGCCCTATGAATTATGATCCCATTGTGGCCATGTTAAAATTCATCTAAGATAAAATTAACTGTTGGGCCGGCCAAATAACTCAGTGGATTAAAGCGCCTGCAAGCAGAAGCAGGGGCCGGGGTTCAATCCACGGTCCTGCCAAGCTGGCCCCACCCTGGGGGCATGCTGAGACAGCAATTGAGACTGGGCGTGGTAGTGCGCACCTGTAATCCCAGCACTCGGGAGGCTGCAGACAAGCAGATCACTACGAGTCCGATCTAGTAGTGAGACCATGAACACCCTGTAGACCCCTCCCTAAAAATACCAAAAAAAAAAAAAATCTGAAAGGGTACAATTCAGTGGCATTGCATTAAATTCACCCAGCTATTATATTGTTTTTAAAACATTAAAAACAGTGTCTCTTTGTTGTACTTAGATGTGTTCTGCAGATCTCTCTCTAATGTAAACAAACAGGAAAAAGAATAGATTCTGCCAGTTGCCTTTGTTAAAGACCAACTCAGTTCCTCCCCCAACTCTTTTATTTTGTGGTGCTTGGCAGAGAACTCATGGCATTATACATGCTTAAACATTTATTCTACCACTTGACCTGTAGCCCCAGGATCCTCATACTCTTACCAAGTCTTTTTTTTTTTTTTTTGGTCCGAATCTTGCGAACTTGATGGATTAAAAAAAATGACATTCAATGTTTTTGACTATCAGTAAGACTGACATACATTACTTTATTCTTTTTTTAATCATTCTCTGAAGAATTTACACTTCTGTGTAAAACAAAATTGGCACTGGGGCTTGTTGCCTGAGGTTTGTGTCTTTCTAGTATGTGGTTCTGTTCACAACCTTTTGCCTGTTCTTTTAAAACTAATAAAGCCTTAAAAAAAAAAAACCAGACTGTAAGGTCAGAGGCTACAATAAGGTTACTGTTCTTTGACAAGATCGAGTATTGTAGAGTTGTTAGCCCTGCAGTGGGGAGGGTTTAAAGAGGGCGTGTTGTTATCGCTTCCTTTGCAGCTCCATCTCTGTCACTGCTCAGGACACTTTGCAGGCAGTCCTCTTTGATATGCATTTTTTAAAAATTTTATATACGTATGTATGTATTTGGTATAGGGTCTCACTACGCATCTTGTACTTGTAGTGATCTTCTTGCTTTCAGCCTTCCCAGGGCTGGGATTATAGGTGTGTGCCACCAGACTCAGTCTTGGTGGCTGGCTCAGCACACCCAGGGGCAGGACAAGCGCTGGATGTGGTGCAAGCAATCAAACCCCAGTCCCTGCTGCACTTTCCTAAGCAGTTGCTTAGTCTGCTGAGCTATCTTGCCAGCCCTTGGTGCACATTTTAAAAGTGCTTTGCTTTTGCTTTTCTTGAAATTAATAGTTGGCCATTTGGCTGGTCAGGGAAGAAAATGTTAGCCTTGTGGGAAGAAATAACATGTGTTCATGGTTTTTTAATAGGCGGTGTGTCTTTCTACATGGATAGGACTTTGTGGCTGGCCAAATACACTTCATCATCTTTTTCGTCACTTTTAGTTCAACTTTTTCAAGTGGTTTTAATGAAGCTCAATTATGAATCAGACAATTACAAATCGAAAAATTATGAATCAAAAGATTGTGAATCAGAAAGCTATAAGTCAAAAAGCCATGAAAAAAAAGGTATTTAATTTTTTTTTCCTCTTTTCTCCACCAAATAATGCTTTCAAGGTGGAGAAAAATGCTTTTCTTGCAAGGCTTTTCACTCAGTGCTCTTGGGATTGCTTCCTCCTGGCTGCTGTCTAGGGGCTTCCTGTTATGGGAGCTTGTGAAGGTGTTCATGTGCTCTGCACATAGCAGTTTTGAAAGTTGTTCAGTATTTAAACATTTTAAAAGTTTGGTTTTTTTTTTAATGAAAGATAATACATTAAACTTTTGGTGTTTGCTTATTACTTTTCTTAAGCAAAACCAACTTATTTTGATGGCATGTAGAATCATGTTGTTTCAGAAATTTTTAGGCAAGCCACTCTTGTAATGTACTGTCTGCATTGGGCTTTAAAATCTTTTCCTTACACCCAAGCCCTGTCACTTGTATTTACTTTCTGCGGTAGGAACTGTCAGCCACCTTATAATGCCTTGGGAATAATCTCTGTCCTGCTGGCTTCGGGGGTGTGGGAAGTATGGAGTTCACACTGGTGCACATCCTAAGTGTCTTTTGCATGTATTGCAGCTCACCACAGTTATTGTGGGAGAATGACTGTCACAGAGCTTCCCAGGGAGGATGACCGTCCGAGTGTGCATGGAGAGTCACTCTGTGAGTACATGTCCCTTCCACCTGCAGCAGTTGGTCTTGAAGGGCCTTCTCCTGTGGTGATGTTGGCCAGCTGACCACAGGGAAGAGTAATCCGAGTGAGCTCAGCAGCCCCACTGGTGAGGAGAGGCAGATGAGGCTTTTGCTCAGTCCCTCAGTAGTAAGAGCTAACCATCACTAGATTGTATTTGCTGTGGTATTTTTAGGTAATAGAGTTTACTGGTGCCTTCTAATTATGTTGTATGCACTATTTTGATTGATGAGGTTTGCATATTAATCTTTCACTTCACTGTTTATCACCACCCCACAGGCGATGACTGTAAGGGAAAGAAGCACCTCGAGACACACACAGCCGCCCACTGGCAGCCATCCAGGCCACGCAGGGTGGTAGGGGCCATGGGGCACCTCTGCACCCGTGCAGGTTGTGTCTTGTCCCTTGTTTATGTTTTTATACCTTGTCAGAGTGCTGCTGTCCCTGTTGAATGTGTGCAGTTCAAGTGTTTAATGCACTTTGATAAACAAGAATAATGTCAGATGTGCCTTAAAATACAGAGACTCTTAAAAAGCTTGTGAGCTTAGAGTAAATTAAATAGACATGAAACTCAGTATTATTTGTGGTGATACTAAAAGTTGAGCAAAGACATGCTGCCCTCTTGTGTTGGAGTGTATTGGAGCAACGGCTGCTTGGCTACTCTGCACAGCAGTTGTACTTGATATCTCAGGAAGTATATTTAGAGGAGGAGAGGTCTTCTGTATTCCTACATGTAACTTTCCTGGTAAAAGGGATATGTTTTTCTAGCAGCTCTTATTTAACCTGAGCTTCAGAAATAAGTGTCTCATGACTGTTACTCAATAAACATAAACAATTTTTAAAAATCTTCCTAAATTATGTATCTTTGCATGTCAGCTATGTAGGAGTGATAAGTGGTTTCAGGCGTTGACATGCAGATATCAAGACTTTGAGCACTTGTTGTTGAAAAAATAGAGCAAAATTTATGTCATTGCCATGTCTGTCTGTCTGTCTGTCTCTCTCCTCTCTGCCATCTGGGGCATTGTAGTTGTCTTCAGCACTTGCATTATTATATTTCCAACATGAATCCTACAAGAAACAGCTGCCATATATACAGGGCAGCTTCTAGCTATCACCCTTGAATTTTGTGCAGAGTGATTGCATTTTCTCTTTTAGGTATCTAAAGAGAGGGCTGAATGAAAGCTATTTTATAGTAGTGGGGTTTCACAGTAAATTCCATCAAGCATCTTGTTTAAAATAGCACCCCCATATACACACCTAGGGGTAACTCCTGGCTTAGTAATAGGAGGGAGTCTGTGTAGGGTGTGACCGTGAGAACCTGCAGTGTTGTCAGGTGGAGCGTTGGTGCTCTGAGGTCTGTCTGAAGGTGCCCTCCTGCACACATCTTCTCTGTCACAGGTTACTTCTTGATGCAGACGCTGGGAAGGGCCAGAGCTGCTGGATGGTTTGTGTCCAAGACGGTGTGGTCAGTCCTTTGGTTGGCCACTGTTGCTCCAGGTGGTTATTCTGGGCATATTTGTTGTCATTCTCTCCATTGCTTTTGGCAGCTAAGCACCTGTACTAAGTGATTTACCTAAGCAGAAAAAATTTTCAGGTTCTCATTCTTTCATCCTTGATGTAACAAATGTTCATTCTTATCAGAAATGCTAATGTGCTATGCTGGAGGTTGCATGAGTATTTTTGTTTTCCTATTACGTTGGGGTTTCTGTACATCTGGTTGCCTGACTGTGCTGTACATGAGGGACGTGGACTTTTTGCTTTCCCATGTCACATCCCATGTCCTTGTCAGCACTGCATACTGCGCTCCTGTGTAAGAACAGCCTCATCTTGGGCCACTGCTCCCTGACTTCATCCTGAGCACTTCAGAAAACCTATCCAGGGATCTCGTTGTGCTTCTGGCTCATGCTTCATGGAAATTATTTCCCTGGGGCTTGGTGGCATCAGCATGTTTCCTCACAGTGCTTGGTTTTCTCTCTTAGGGAAGGTGGCCTCTGGAGCACTCTGGTGGCTGGGGTATGGATGGTACCAATTTGTTACTCTGATCTCTTGGCTGAATGTGTTTCTTCTTACAAGGTAAGCAAGCTAATGCTGCCATACCATGATACATGAAAGAAACAGTTTGTGGCAGTTCCAGGCTATTGTTTTTTTTTTTTTTTTTTTTTTTTTTTTTTTTTTTTTTTTTTTTTTTTTTTTTTTTTGG